TTACCATAAATGCTCAACCCTCACAACTACTTACATCATTTAAAAAGTTCAGGAATCAATATGAAAGTGGCATTAAATGATGTTCAAATTAATACTTAATTGTACTAAACCTCCTTGCACTGGGGGAGGGGGTACTGTAAAAGTTAGTAAGAACCAATAATTTAAGAACTTGGAAGGCTACAATGAGAAAAGCCTAAAAGCAGTCAACCCAGTTCCTTATAATTACAATTCACTTTGACCTCTTAAAAACCCCTTACCTGTTTAAGAGTTTTATACAGCAGTTTGCCATGGGAACCCATAATCGTAGCATCCTTGGTTGATAAGCACCTGCTGCCTAGCAATCATCCTGCGTGGATACAGGACAGTGTTCTTTATCCACAATAGGTTAAGCATTTCAAGGCAACCAGAGCAAGCTTGCATTTCAAGGTGTCTTCCATCTGCATGCCAAATGGCAACTAGTTAATTCTAAGAGACTTGGGAAACAAATGCAGTTTCTGCAGCCACGATGCAGGTGCAGCACTGTTCGCTTCCTCTTGACCTCTGGTGATGTGTTGTCAACTGTGCCCCGAAGTCTCCTGCAGCAAAGAGTTGTACTCCTGCACAGTGGGAACAGCTTTCCAAAGCTCAAGATCCCCAAATGCAGGAAATATAGCACAATTTTTTCAAAGTTTCACCACTTTTTTCCTCCTGATATCATCTGTACTACAAACTAAAAGTTTGCAGTGGTACCTACGAAACGATCAAGGTTGCATGCACGTCCAAGGTGTGTAGACCATTTGCTTCAAAATTGGTCAAGTAAGAGCACCAATAACAATCGTACAGGTTTTAAAATGACAGCACTCTAGCTCTCAGGAACTCTTCTTCCATTCAGAACTACACCCAGGACTGCATAACTCTGAAGAAAAGCCCCTGGTTGTGGAGGAGCTCTTCAACTGTGTCTGGAAACGCGCTATCATTTAATTTTTTTTATGAGTTACTTTTTCTTTTTGTTTTCAATTTGGTGAAAAGGTTATGAGCAAGATGCAAAGCAATTTCAAACTTTCTTCAAATTAAAATCAGAACTAAGGCCAAACAAGTTAGGTGAACAAAATAAATCAAGAACTTAAAATTCAGGAACTCCAGCTCTTCAAAATCAACAAAGTCCCAGATTTGTACACTGTTCTGAGACTTAAGATGCTTTCCCTGCTTCTTGCATGCCAGCAACAGCACCATTTCCTCGTAAAGATGAGGAGATAGCAGCCATTGATCCCCATTCACCGTACACAAGAGGACACAGCAACACAACAAACTAGATTTCTTCAGATCTGATATAAAGGATGGTCAATATCAAAGCGAAGGTTTCCCTGTTTGTTGTCTGAGACCCACAACTATCAGATCGAGGAGAAGGAGCGGCAGGAGCAGTTGTAAAGTACCCCCACAGCTGCAAACAAAGGGGTCAAAGGTTTGTCGTCAATTCATTTCCAGGCAGAAAAACCACTTTCCTCAAAAGAAACAATTTATTTAGAATGAAAACAAAATCAGCTCGACTGTGAGCGCATGTTTTGAGTGACAGCTATTTTAAGCTGTGTGAGCCATAAAAAGGTTTTTTTTTTCCTTTACTTTTGCAGAAATCTTGTGTACACAGCACAAAGCAAAGAGGTCAATTTTCCACTTAAAAACATGGGCATTGGCATCACAAATAGCAGATACACAACTTTTTAAGCTGGCATTTTAGTAAAATGCACAAATACTAAACAGATAAGCTTTCTTCCATGAGGCCCATGTAAATTCCACATAAGCCAACGCTTTTCTTCGCAAAGGTCCATTAGAGTTTGGAATCCCTTGTGGTCTTCAGCACTTCACTAGCCTTGCTTTCAGGAGGAAAGAAGAGGTTATTCAGTACAAATGTTTACAAGAGATCTGTCTTCTTCCTACATTTACAGATAACTGTTCGAACTACAAGGCTATTAAAGTTCTAGGTAATGTCTGAAAGCACCAATCACCCTTCACTGGCACAAAGCTTTTGAAATGAATTAACATCTGTATATAAATGCACAAATAGTAGTTCAGGGAGTTAAAATATAGGGTACAGATTGGGAAAAAAATCAGCTGTACTAGTGAAAAAAACATTACAGGAGAAAAATCAACTGAATTTTCACAATTCACACAATTTCTCTCTCTTTCAAAAAGTCAAACAAGAACATGAAATTTAGTGTTCTGTTTGTAAGTATATATTTTTTCACATTGCTATGTTATCTCCAACTACAGACTCTTTACTTATTGGAGAAAACTAGCTAAAATATGCATTGGATTCTCTTCATCTGTGAATTTTTCTAGTTGTTCCAAAATACTTTAATTTGGATAATGTAAAGGGAAATATTTATCTTCAGTGACACATCTGGAGCAGCTAATATTGTTTACTCTATGGGAAAAAAGCGAAGGCAAGGAAATTAACATACATCAAATTATTTTACAATAATTTCTTCATTTTCCAAGCCATTCAATCAGGCACCCTACAATCAGGATTATTCTTTTGTATGCTTAAGTGGCTACCCTTAACTTTTCCATTTTTAACCAATGACTTATCTTTCAGATGTATTCCTACATTTTTTAAAAACATAATCAAACTTCTACTACTTGCTTAAATTCCTAAGGAAGGTTTCTTCCTTTCCCCCTTATATAACTTGGGAAGAAAAAACCCACGCTAAATATATTGGTTTTAAAAATGCTAATCTTGCCTCCCAGTGTTTCAAATTTTGATAATCAAAATTGGGAGGCAATTGTATAAACACAAAAGTGGATCCTGGTAAATGAGGTAGCCTTAAACTGATACTCCACTGACAGCCAACCACGTATGATGTCAAAATGCAAAACTCCTAGTTAACTTTAAGGGGGGAAAAAACCAACCTCTTAAGTTTCCAATTATAGAATTTAAATCCTAAAGACAACATGCCAGTTAAGATTTTCCTATCCAGCTCCCCCAAAAGTGGTATTAAGTGACTCTCAGGAAAAGACACATTCTACATCCTAATGTTGTACCTCTGGAAACAAATTTCTGGACATGTGCAGCATTCAAATATACATTGCTCTAAAGCTTCATAATACCATATACAAAAGATCACAATCCTCTTTTTTCCCATACAGATGTGTCACAAAACTTAATTTTTGCTATGCTGAAGTCTTGGCTCAAATGAATAACTGCACTGCTATTATCCTAATACAAAAAAAGCATATAATTAAATGCTATAGCATCTATAACTAAGTGCTGTGCCATCCAATGTTGGTTATCATTTTAGTCTAAATTGGACTCCTAACATTCTTTTTCTTTCTATAGCTACTAATGGACTATCTTCTTTCTTTTTTTAAAAAAAAAACCCCTCTTAGATAAGGGTTTGGAAAACTGAACTGCCCATTTCACATATCCTTTACCTAGTTCAAATCATGACAAGCAGCATTGAACATAATTTTCAATTAAAATAGAAAAAGAAATCCATGGTGTAGGGTTTTCCAACACCAGTTCCCAAAAGTTGCCTAAAATGCTAGAATGTTCAAACAATTTACCTCAAATTCAAGTTCTGTAGGATTTTTTTTTAACAAGGAGAGCATATCAGTATGTATACTATTGCCAACAAGTTTGACTTTCGAATCTGATTATTTTCAAAAAATACAAGGATGGCTTTAAAATGAATATATTAGTTCAACATAGAGCAAATTCCCTCTTCAAATAAATACACTAAGAAAACTCTTTGTGTAGCCACCAGCATACTGCATTTACAAATGCAGTAATATGGACAATCCAATATTATGTTATGCAATACAGGCAACATAAATCTGTCTTAGTGACTCTGCCTATAATAGTGGCTAGATTTAATTTGGTTCACAGTTCCAAGTTTCATTTATTACAGAACAATTTATATTTTCAATTTGTATTTCAGAATTGTGGGATTTAGGTTACTATACCCACATTCTTAAAAAGTGAAAAGGTGTAAAGGTTTCAGAAGTGAGGCTCTACTTGAAAAAATACTTTTAAGAATAGCACATTTCCCAATATTATTTCACTGAGCAGTGTTTCACTAAGCCACTTTTCAACTAATTGTACTTATTCAAACTTGAGAATTGGTTTACACATAAGAAACTTATTGTTACTGTACAGTGGCTTTACAAACAAACAAAAATATTGGACCAGAAAAGAGACCAAGCAAAAAGCCACACATTTAAACTGTTGATTCTTTCCTAAGTCTTATCATATATTTTTTAAAAATAAGAACTGCTTTTAAAGGCTTGCTTTCAAATGAATTATGTTCTTTTAGTAAACTGAATTGCTTCCCCAACATTTAGAAATATAAGGTGAATGCAAAAGTGTCAAGATTAAAACAGTGCAAACCAGACTATAAAACCTCACATAATGTCTATTATATTTTACCTGAAAAATATTGAGTAGGTATTCTATTTTTCTATTTCCATGGGGATAGAATAATTGAAATGGTTTTATGGCAGAACTTTTTGCAAAAGTTAAGTGCCATCTTTGAAAGTTGCATTTCCAAGTTATACTTTAGAATTCATTGTGCCTATTACAATTAGCAATGGGCAATAAGAACAATGATACCATAAACCACCTACTTCTTGAATGCAGAAATTCATGATGTTCATGGGTTATAGTAAAGCTCTCATTAAAACTACAACCTTTAAATGCACACACATTTTAAAAAATCAGCAACAAAGCAAAATATCATTTAGGAACATTCTTCAAGGGTATGCATTTCTCCAAATTTGGGAACAAAACTTGAAAACCCAATTGAAAAAAAATACAATGCACCATGAAGGCTTAATATCAGCTATATCAGGGACTCAACCATGAGTTAATTCAATTTGATTTTACATTTTTAAACTAGGAATTATTCTGAAATTATATCTATAGCTTTATGGAAGCTGCAAGGCTCAGAATGGGCATGAACCATGAATGTTTTAAGTATGGCAATTTAGAATTTAAGTTGTGAAATGAACAAGGACAAGTTAAAAGATAAAAAAAGAGGGAGGCAAGCTTGTTCAATGTTTCATATTTTAGTGAAAGCATACCATCCCTTCTTACTATACTGTCACTAGCAAGACAGTTGAGGGTAGCCTAGTGAACAGTTAATATATTTGCTCTCTAGAGTTTATAGAAAATAAAGGGAAAATAACAGTAACTACAGATCTAAAATTATACTTAGGGTGTTGGCTAAAGCTTAGCACCTGGCAGACACTGGAGGAGGGGGAGTTGTATGAAGCAGCAGAATAAGCACAGAAAGCATTAGGACTTTAAGATGCACCACGAACAATGATCATGACCAAATAGTCATCCTCCGATTTAGCCAGGGCCTTTGCTGTAGAATCCAGGAACTGCTGAGAAAAATCACAGGGGGGGAAAGCATGCAAGACCCCACTGTTTTCTTTGTCTTTGTTGCCTCCTACTGGGAGGCTTATCACTCCAGCTGCCTGTTTTTGTTTAAGATAGGACACCAGGTTTCTTAATGGTCGCTGGGTAGAGGTGGTATTAGCTTCACCAGCCCCGGATGAGGCACGGTTGTCTGTGGTACCAGGCACAGCAAGTAGAATAGCATATCCATTGGGTCCTGCTACTTTGATACGACGAGTAACTTCATCCAACTTGGGCTGGTCCAAACGAAGACGCTGTGTTATCTTTAGTTGGGCCACTTTGCCACCAGTTGTTCCTTCCACCAGCAGATTGCTAGCTACGCTGAGGTCACCCTGAAGTAGGTGCATGTTTGATGGAAAATTGCTGTTCTTCAACAGAAGCATTCCTTGCCAGGCTAGGCAGAGTTTGGTAGATGATCCTGATTTTGAAGTTCCATCCTGCTGTTGCTGCTTTTGGGGTGGCTTCAGCCGAGATCCACTGCTACTGTTCCCTTCAGAAGTATGCTCATCCTTTTTAGCTGGACTCTTGCACTCTTGGATGGCAGCTGATGCAAGTGTGCGATGTTTTCTTTCTTTTTCCACCAAACTCTTATGTTCCCGCTTCTCACTCTGGCCTCTCTCCAAACTCCCCTTACGTGGCTCTCTGACTGGTGAAGGACGATCCAACAAGAGTAAGCGAGAAGAGGGCCGATCAATATCAGTATTATAACGGTCTCTGATTAAGTTTGTTTCAGGACTACGATCTTGAGGAGATGCTACAGCAGGGCAGTGACGCTTACGAGATGAAGATGAACGTTCACTATCTGGTGATCGGTCCAAATGTCGACCCCCATCCTCCACTAGCCTTCGCTTCCTAGGTGGGTCTCTACTACTACTGCTACCAAGCTCCCTTTCCCCACGAGTTCTTTCTAGAGACCAACCATCTCGACGCCGTTCCAGACTTTCAAGTGCATCATAAACAGTCGCTCGGTTGCCTCGGTCCCGAACTGGAGGTGGAGGAGGCACCCATTCTGTTTCAGCATATAAGTCTCTGTCACGGTCACCATAGAGCAGTGGTGGTGTTCTATCCCGAGCACCTCGGAGTGGATCTGGTGGCGCTCCACGATGTGCTCCAAAAGCTGATGTTTCTGCTACTAGCTCATAATGAGTAGGGGGTGGAAGTGGCAATGGCTGCAAATAGGGCTGTTGATACCGATGCTCAGTGTCAGCAAAGTCCACACGCAGGCGACGGTCTGGCCCACCCAAAGGAAAGCCACGCATGTGGGTACAAGCAGCTTGTGCAGCATCCAAACTCTCATATTGGATATAGGCCCATGAGTCACCTTTACGATAATCAATGGTACGAATAGTACCAAAGCGATCAAACTCCCTGGCAAGAGCAGCCAATGGTACCCATGGTCCCAGGCCACCCACCCAGAGTCTCGTGGTGGGGGTTGCTTTACCATAGCCAATTTTAATAGGATTGCGCAAGAGCACTTTACCAGACATGGCAAGCTTAGCTCGGTGGGCCATATCCAAGTTCTCAAACTTAAGAAATCCATATGTGCTCGTTTGACCCCGGGTTGGCCTCTTAATATCCACTTCAGTGATAACCCCAAAGCGATCAAAAGCCCTATGAAGGTCTGACTCTGTAACCGATATATCCAAATTACCCAGAAAGAGGGTGCGATTAGCTCTCTGGTCATCTTCAGGACTGATCTCTTTTTCAGTGGCCGTTCCTGTGCCAACCCCACGAAACGCAGCAGCTGCCACTCCGGCAACTCGGTCGAGACTGTACGTGGTGGGCCTTACCCGATCATAGAAACCACTATAGTCCCGTTCTCTTTCCAGCTCCCGGGGCAGAGGCGGTGGGGGCAGACGACCCAGGGCCAGCTGTTGCAAGCGGAAGTCTCTGTACCCTAAGCCTGCCCCTCCCCCAGCAGGAGAGAGGGCCCTCTGAGTCGCTCCAGTTGCGGGGTGCCTGATAGTTGCGGGAGAGGCCCCCGCCACAACCACCGCCGAGGCCCCATAGGGAGACTCCTTGTCCAAAAGGGCCGGGGAACGACTGCTGCGTCGCCGGCTGCTGCCCCCTCCTCCGCTGCTGCCCCCAACATAAACGGCCTCGATCTTCAGCGGCCGATGGTAGAGGACCAAGCGGCCGCGAGCATGCTTAGCAGCTCGGGCATCCTCGGGGCGGCGGAAATTAACAAAGGCCACCCGCTCGTCGCCAGACCCGGTCCCCGGCGGGAGGCGACTGATCTTGACACTGACGTCTCCGAAGCGCTTGAACTCGTGGAAGAGCCCGTCTTCGATCGCCTCGTCGCTCAGCGCCGAGCCCAGCTCGCTGATCTTGAGCGTCTTATACTCACTGCCGCTGCCGGAGTCGGAGGGGGGCGCGCGGGAATCGCCGCCGCGGCTGCTGCTGCCACGCGACGACGAGGAAGACTCCGCATTTTTGCTGCTGCTGTTGTTGCTCCCGCTGTAGCCGTGGCGGGTGCTGCCGCCCCCAGAGACCCCCACCGCGGCCGATTCGTATTCACGGCTGCTGGCCCGGCTCGCTTTTTCCAAATGAAGGCTCCGCCGACTACTGCCGCCGCCGCCGCCGCCACCGCCCTCACTCGAGCCGCCGCCCGCAGATTTCCCACCGCCGTTGCTGGGCTTCTTATTGCTCCGCTCGCTCCGCACCGAAGAAGAATCCTCGCCACCGCGGGACCGTTTGGCCTTCGCAGGCGAGCGCTCCTTGCCCTTCATGGCGGCAAGCGCCAAGCAAGAGGGAAATCGCGCGCGGAGTATCGCGCCTCACGCACCCGCCGCCATCTTGGAACCTCCGGCAGGCTGGAACTCCGCCCACTGGGCAGGCATTGGACAGTTTAATCGGAGCACATCGTGTTCATTGCACAAAGGGCCTGTCGGTGAAGAAAAGCGTAGACTCTGAAGCGCTCAAAGCACCGGAAACGGAAATGCCGCCTTCCTACAAGACTTTCACGAGGCCGTTGGATGAATCGCCAATCACTCATCGATTTCTTGAGCGGTAATGGTCCGAACTGGAAGAACTTCCATCCCATTGGCTGAAGCAGGAATCCCAATTCTTTGTTTCCCCCCCCCCACTCCACGCTCTCATTGACGGTTTTTCTAGAAGGCCTCAGTCTCCTCGCTGGCTTCAACCCGCGCAAAAGTGCTCAGACCACGTGGGAACTTTGGCTTTGACAGACCAAAGAGATGGCGGGGAACGGGGGGGGGGGGGGACAGTGGCCTCAGTTGGTCGTTTGTTTGGCGTCTGCACGGGACGCAGCTTCGACTTCTTTAACTTTAGGCGGGAAAAAGATTTGTCGGGTGGATATCATTACTGTTTTCATCTCCTAGCGACCGCTGGCGTGCGTTCGTCTAGGCGGGAAGTGTTTCAGCCTCGGCAATTTTAAGATGTGTGGACTTCAACTCCCAGAATTCCCCCGCCAGCCAGGTCAATTCTCCACCCAGTGCTAGCGAGGAAATTCTGGAAGTTGATGTTCTCGCGTCTTGGTTGCTGAGACTGAGAAACGCTGGCTTAGCGGATCTGGCGAAGAAGGAACAGAAAGGATCCGAGTCTGCCTTCTCTCATCTCGGAGCCTCGTCCAAAAGCGATTTCTTAACCCGGAGTCCTTTCAAATGAGTTTCCCAAGTCCGTTTCTTCGCCAAACCACTCTGGGCGACTTACAAAGGGTTAAAGCATGAAGAATATAAAGCACATGGAAAACAAAAAGCGCCGGGGATAAAATCCAGTCACTCATCGGCGGTTTCCTGGAAGAATTGGGTTTTCGAAGCCCTTCGGTTTATTAAAATAGTTTTGTTGGTGTTGTCGGAAATCTCGTTCATTAAATCCATAAGTCTCATTAAATGGCCGTAACAAGTAGAGCATTTGCAAATAATAATTTTAAAAAAACAGTCGACTGAAAAGGCTTACTGGGAAAAAAATTACTACAGCGCTAAAAATTTATTTATTTATTTATTTATTTATTTTGATTTATATCCCGCCCTTCTCCCAACGGGACTCAGGGCGGCTCACAACATATTTAAAAACATAGACATATTTACAACCCCCACCAGATAAAACCAAATTAAACCAATATTTAAAGTTGTGCAGTTAAAATTATTCTTAAAAAACCCGATTTAAAATCCTCCCTAGGCC